GGGGTCCACCTGTCTTATAGTTGCCAAAGTTGAGAAACATAAGAGCTCTCAATCTCAATCACAGCGGGCTGGGAGTTGGAAGTCCACCTATCTTAAAGCTGCCGAAGTTGAACACCGTTCTAGATCTCTCCATCAACCAGAATGGAAGTCAGAGCTAAGTAGAGCCACGTCAGCAAGATCAGTACGCAGCCTTAGGCGAAATGTAGTCAAAATGTATGAACTTCAACTCCCAGAAACCACCAGCTAGCTCTACCAGCTGAGGAATTCTGGGAGTTGAAGTCTACCCACCTTCAAGCTGCCAAGGTAGAGAAACATGGATCTAGAGCCCTCAGCCAGCCAAAATGGAATTGGAGCTAAGTCGAGCCACATTAGAAAGAGGAATGAGCAGCCTTATAACCAGAAAGAAAGTGAAGTGAATTCTATTGTAGGGGGATGTTCATGTTTTCTCACCCTCCCCAGTATAAACCCATGAATGACTTCAGTGGGTCCACCCAAGATAGTCCGTGCGACCCTGGGATTCGAATTCAGATGGTGCTGAGATTCCAGATTTCTTCTTCTTTGCGCTTCAGGTGGACATTCACATCATGACCCAGCCTCCCTCAGGGGAATGGGTTTATTTTGACACGGAGATCGCCAACAGCAGTGGGCGCGTTTCCTACATGATTCCCGAGCAGAGACGGCTGGGGATCGGGGTGTATCCTGTCAAAATGGTGGTGAGGTACGTTCTTGTGCACAGAGGTTTGCCAGGGAATGGCACAGCCGTTGAGCAGTAGGTAGGAAAAATGGGCACAGTTTGAAAAATGCAGATGTGGCAACTGAGGCCATCTGATTGTGGGTGAGCTATGATTATTATGATTCTTGACGAATGTATCTTTTCTTTTATGTATACTGAGAGTATTTGCACCAAGACAAATTCCTTGTGTGTCCAACCACACTTGGCCAATAAATAATTCTTCTATTGGCATCTTTATCCTTAATCCAAGGCAGAGAGCGATTGCTTATCTTTTAGATTCCTGTCCTGTTTTCCCCCTTTGAAGGCTGATGCATAATTACGACCGCTTAAATTTAAGGAAAAAATAATCTATTCAGTCTCTCAGCCAAGATTGATGTACCTGTTCGGCTAAAAACACAGGTCGCTTCTGAACTTAACTTTTGTCTTCATGTCCCCCCTTCTGACTAACAATGTTGAAAAATAGCAAGCATGCTGTTGACCTTAATCTGGAAGGATAGCACAGATCCCTAAAATAGGCATTAATACAATTTAACTTTCCCCAGAAGACTAGGGGGAAAAAATGCATTGAGGACTACCGTACCTGTATCATGAAATCAAGGTTCACTTTCTTGTTTCTTTCTCCTTAGGGGGGATCACACATACGCAGATAGCTACATCACCGTTTTACCGCGGGGGACCGAATTCGTGGTCTTCAGCATTGACGGTTCCTTCGCAGCCAGCGTCTCCATTATGGGCAGCGACCCCAAAGTCAGAGCTGGAGCAGTTGATGTCGTACGGTAGGTGGGGGTCAGCGGCGGTGGGGAGCGTTAGGGCTGGGAAGTTGTACTGAAGAGTGGGATTTTCATGCTGTTGGTTTCGTGTTGGAAGCTCCAAGGCACTTGCGGGTTGAAAGGATTAGCCAGTGACGTCATCGTTGCCCTGGAAACACACCCAGTTGCACATCCCCATAGTGAGCCCACCGAAGTGGTACCTGTTTATCTACTTACATTTGCATGCTTTCAAACTGCTAGGAGCTAGAGCGAATGACGGGAGCTCACCCCATCCCAACGTCAGCACGTGGGTCTCGAACGCTTGCTGATTTTCAAGCCATTGTTCTAACCACCTGAGCCGCCATGCTCCTTATGGGATACTATAAGAATAGCAGGAACGTTTGTTTTTTTCCAGTTGAAAACAAGAGACCCTTTTCCATGCTTATATTCACACTGCCTCTCGCTCTCTCCGCTCATCCGTCTTTCTCGTTTCCCCCATCCTTAGGCACTGGCAAGAGCTTGGCTACCTCAATATCTACGTCACGGGCCGGCCCGACATGCAGAAGCAGAGAGTGGTCGCCTGGTTGGAGAGATTGCTGTTCCCCCACGGGATTGTCTCCTTCTGCGATGGGCTGGTTCATGATCCCTTGAGGCACAAAGCCAACTTCCTGAAGTCTCTAGTCACAGACGTAAGCAGAATTCGCAGCGGGTTCAAGCAGACGCAGTCAGGCTGGGCCAGGTCCCCTTCAAAGCGCCTTTGAGAATCTGGGACCTTCTGATCAGAAATTATATTGCAGGAAAGTTAACAAGTCCTTATGAGAGAAAAAAAATAAATAAATCCAGAGATTGCTGAGTATCAAACATGAGTCCTGTTTATAAAGATTCACATTCTTGCACATCTTTCTCTTGTCCTTATATTTTTTCCACATTTTTT